ACCTTGAACCTACACTTAGGCCAGGGTCGCCTTGAATTTACAGCAATCCTCCTACTGATATCAACCTCCCAAGTGCTGGCAATTAATTGTTGATTTGCTGCATTGTGTTTGCCCTATCTTATTCAATGATTGGTGTGTAGTTCTCTTTCTTGGTTGGATCCTTCTCTGGTTTTGGTACAAGGGTAATGCTTGCTTCCAGGAATACATTTAGGAGTATTGCTTCAGTTTTGATTTCATTAAAGAGTTTGAGAAGGGCACTAGGTCTGCTCTAAATTTCATGTAGAATTCAGCAGTGAATCTGTCAGGGCCTGGGCCAGCCTGCCTGCCTCCCTCCCTCTCTTTTTCTTTCCTTTTTTTCAGGCAGGTTCTCCCTTTGTAGTTCAGGCTGACCTGAACTCACTATGTAGCTCAGACTGGCTTCAAACTTGTTGCAATCCTTCTGTCTCAGCCTCCCCAGTGCTGGGATTACTGGCACGTGACACCATGCCTGGCTTAGGGCCTGGGCTTTTCTTTGTTTAGGTTTTTAATTACATCTTCAATTTCATTGATTAATATTGGTTTATTTAGAATTTTTATATCTTCTTGATTCAGCTTTGATAATTCATATATATATAAATATATATAAATATGAATCTGCTCATTTCTTGTTTTCTATCTTATTAGAATATAGGTTCTCAAAGTAGGTATTGATGATTTGGATTTCTGTAGGATCTATTGTGATCTATTCACCCTTTTCATTCCTAGCTTCATGGATTTGATTCTTTTTCTTTAAGGTTGGCTGAGGGTTTATCAATTTATTCAATCTTTCAAAGAACCAACTTTTTGATTCATTGATTATTTGTTGTATTAATTTCTGCTCTGATTTTTATAATTTCTTCCCTCATATGTGCTTTGGTCTCGACTTGCTCTTTTTCTGGAAGCTTGAGGCTCAGTATTAGGTTGTTTATTTGAGCTTTCTCTGTTTTCTTGAAATGGGAATTCACTTCTATAAAGTTCCCTCATAGTACTGCTTTCACTGCATCCCATAAGTTCTGGTATGTTTTGTTGGCAATGTCCTTTAATTGTAGAAGCTGTCTAATTCCTTTAACTTCACCTGTTACCCACTGGTTGTTCAGCAAGGTTTTATTTAATTTCCACGTGTTTATGAAATTTCTGTGGTTTCTCTTGCCTTTGAATTTCAATTTCATTGCACCATGGTCTGATAATGTTCACGGAATAATTTCAATTTTTTTCCCAATTCCTTAAGTATATTCTATGAGATAGCATGTAGTCTATTTTGTTTTGTTTCTGGTACTGGGAATAGAACTCAGGACATTGCACTTGCGAGGCAGGCATGGGTGCCACTGAGCTGAATTTTCTGCCTAGCATGTATTCTGTTTTGGAGAATGTCCCACGTGCAGCTGTGAAGAATATGAACTCTGATGTTGTGGGGGTGGAACACTCTGTGAACCTCTACTAAGTCCATCTGTTCAAAAGTTTGGTTCAGTTCTAATATTTCACTGTTAGTTTTTTGTCTAGTTGTTCTGACTACTTGTGACAGTGGGGTGTTGAGGTATTCCCTTACAATTGTTTTAGTGCCTATATAATTTTCATGTCAGCTAATATTTCTTTTATATAGCTGGGTGTGCTGGTATTTGGTGTATATATATTTATGACTGTTATGTCTTCCTCTTGGATTGTTCCCTTTATAGGATGTAGTGACCTTTGTTTCTCTTGATTAGCCTTGGCTTGAAATACATTTTGTCTGCAAAAAGAATAGCTTCTTCTGCTTTTTTCCAGGTTCCTGTTGCACGGAATATGTTTTCCATCCTTTGACTTTCAGTTTATGAAATTCTTCTTGAATGAAATGAGTTTCTTGTATGCAGCATATTGTATTGTTTCTTGATCCATTCTGCCAATCTGTTTCTTTTGATTAGTGAATTGAGACCATTATTAACATTGATGATTGTAACTGAAATGTATTGACTTACTCTTGTCATGTTATTTTCCTGTTGCTGGATCCCTTTTTTCCTCCTCTGCTTAATTTCTTGATTTGCCTGGTAGTTTCATTCTGTTGCTGTTTATGGAGTTGTAATCTTTGTTATCTCTTTCTAGAATATCCATCAGAACACTCTGGAGTGCTAGTTTGGTGCTCATGAATTTCCTCAGGTGTTCATTGTCATGGAAGGATCTTATTTCTCCATCAATTTTGCATATCAGTCTGGGTTGGAAGTTGTTTTCCTTTAGGGTTTGATATATTTCACTCGAAGCTCTCCTTGACATGAGGGTTTAAGTTTATAAATCTGCTGTGATTCTAATGGGCTTTCCTTTATATGTTATTTGCTTCTCTGAAATAACTTTTAGTATTATTGTGTTGAATTTCTGGAATCTTAACTATTATATGCCTTGGTGTAATTTTTTTTTAATCATGGCTAAGTGGAGTTCTATATGCCTTACTTACCTGCACGTCAAATTATATTTCCCTGTTATGGAAATTTTCTGCCATTATTTCTGTGAACAGGTTTTTTTTTTTTGTACTGGGGATCAAACTCAGGACTTTGTGCTTGCAAGGCAGGCACAGCACTGCTAAGCTACAGCCCCAGCACTCATGGATATCTGTTTGAATATGTTTCATGGAATCCATTTCATTCCTATGTTGGGCATTCATGGTTTTCATTATTTTCCTAAGCTCCTTTGTTTATTTATTTTTTTGGGTACCAGGGGTCGAACTCAAGATCTTGCGCTTGTGAGGCAGGTGGCGGCACCACTGAACTAAATCCCCAGCCCTCCTTTATTTATTTCTTTTTATATGTATCTGCTCTATATCACTGAGCATGTCTTTCATTATGGTCACTATCTCTCTAGTTATCTGTGCAATTGTTTCAGATTTGATTTTTTCCTAAAGCCTTGTTCATCTGCTTTGTTACTTTTGCCATTACCACTTGAGTCCAGATGGGTGGCTTTTGCATTGTTCTTCATTGCCCCCTGGGTTTGCCTTTGGTGAGCTGAAAATCTGGGTTGTCTTTCTTCTGTCTTCTCACTTACTTACTTTCTCCTTCCTTCCTTCCTCCCATTTTCCCATTCATCTTTCCCTCCTTCCTTCCTTTCTATTTTTTGTAGTTTAATTCCTGGATTGATGCTTGTAAATTGCCTATGGCAGGTGACTTTATTGCTAATACTTAGAACTCTTAGGAAAGGATTACTTTTCAGAGGTGTTTTCCAGGTGTAGCTGGTTTGGGTTTTTAGTCTGTTATAAGATCCTAGACCTCTTTAATTTTGGGGGGATGGATGAGAAGTTGCTACCTACTTGGCCCAGCCCCTGGTTCTTTGGCACTAGCCTATGGTATTTTTTAAGACTCTGAGGCAATCTGAGTCTTGATATACTATGAAGAACAACTGATTAGCACAGTTATATAACCTTTGCTAAAGTAATAAAATGAGCAATAACAATAGCATCAAACACAGCCCTAAGAGAAATTCTTTTTTTTTTTTTTGGTACCAATGATTGAACTCAGGACCTTGTGCTTGTGAGGCAGGCAGCAGAGTACCACTGAGCTAAATCCACAGCCCTGCAAAAAAGGAATTCTTAGAAGAAAGGAATGACATGGGCTGAGCTACTTATTTTTATGGTTTTTCGCTTCAGAGCAGGCTGAAATTAGCTCTGTGCAATGAAGCTAAAAGGGGAGAGAAAATCTAATTTTTCTGCTCTAGAAATGAGAGGACATAATGGGAAGCAGTAAGAACTGCTGTAAAGTGAGGAGAGAATTCTGTAAAGGAGACAGCTACAGATGAGAAAACCCAATGAATGCATGGGACAGACTCTAGCGCTAATGTTAAATAACTGAACTAAGACTTGCAAGAGACAAGTTGGCAGTGTGTAGCCAACCAAGTTAACTGTTTTGTAAAGCAAACAAAAAGATAACACAGTCTAGGGTCTCCACAATATAACATTCACAAGATCTAGGATACAGTTAAAAAATAATTCAGTATACTAAATATCAGTGACCTATTAAGCTATATAACCTATTCTCTTCATTTTTGTCTTCTGAAGATTTCCCCCATTTTTACTCAAACAGACTTGGAATTTATCATCATTTAAGTTATTTTTAATGATCATTATTTCTGGATTTAAATTTAACATACAGACTATCTTTTAAAAGGTTTTATCAAGCCAGGTATGGTGGCACACACTGTAATCCCAGTGCCAGGAGGTTGAGGCAAGAGAATCACAAGGTGAAGCCCAGCATGGGCAACTTAAGTGAGTTAGCAAGAGCTCGTCTGAAAACAAAAAATAAAAAAGGCTGAGGATATAGCTTAGTGAGAAAATCCTGGATTCAATTCAATCCCCAGTCACACATAACACATGTAACACACACACACACACACACACGTGAGCATACACACATACACATATGCACACATACACACACACACAAATCATCAATATTTTGGAAATATTTCACTCAATCCTACATAAAATCCCATGTTTTAGGGCTAGGGATTTAGCTCAGTTGTGCTGCTGCCTGCCTCGCAAGCACAAGGACCTGAGTTCTATCCCTAGTACACACACACACACACACACACACACACACACACACAATCCCATATTTTAATTGGTGTATCTTTCAATCTAGTAAGCTAGACATCTTCATTTATGAATTGGCCATTCATCTCTTTTTCTCCTCTCTATGAACTGTTGTCATGTTGATTCATAAAAGCTGTTTATCAATTCTTTCTTATATATTGAAATATTTATTTTTCAAATTTGGCTTTTAAATTTGTTCTTCAGATTTTTTTACCCAAACTGAAAGTTCTTAAAGTGTTTTATGTAGTAAAATCTATCATATCTACTATTTAATAGTTTCTAATTTAGGGATCATACTTATTAAGTCATTCCTAATAAAGATCATAAAAACAATTATCACAGTAAGACTTTTTAAATAGCTTTAGAGATGTTATCAAATGAAACTCAGGAAACTTGGTAAGAATTACAATAGTACACAACCTAAGAACAACCTTACCTCCAACAGCTTCAGATTATCTAAGTCAAGAGAGGGCTCTGATGCTGCTGCTTCCATCATGTTTATACTGTGCAGACCTTGTTTATGGTCTCCTATACAAAAAAGAAAAGAATTTACTAATGTGTGATTTTCTTAAAACGATGATCTTGATTACATTTTAAAATTATATTACAGTTATTAGAAAGAACTGCTGAAGGGATAAAACTATTTACTTAACTAGTAATCATCTTTGAAGATGCACAGTGAGTAGCATGAGAGCTGAATTCTGGAGACAGTTCCACTATGACTTAGTTTAAAACCGTAAAAAATAGTGCAAAACTTTTAAGATTTTATTAGTTATTCAAATGAATGAATGAGTACTGATTTCCTAAACAACCCAGTAAGCCTAAAGTTTATCAGTGGTACCACGATTTGCATCAAAATAATACAGTGGCCTGGAAGAGGGTAGTGAGTGGGATTTAGATAAAACAGTATTGCCTGCATGTGATAACTGCTGAAGCTTTCTAACAGATATTTTAGGTAAGTTTGAAACTTTTTCCAAGAACCAAGGGAGAAATTTTTGCTAAAGGTAAGAATGGAAGCTATTATAGTCCAGAGATATTTATTTCATTTTGGTGTTTTTTAGTATTTAGCATAGAGATTTTAAGAAGAAAATAAATTCTGATTCAACAGCATGTTTCATAAATTACAAGACAAAGAGTGGTATTTAAACAAATTTTTACCTGCCACCATTCGGTATCCGAAGCATAAGGCAACTATCAAAACAGCTAATACAGAGACTGATGCCAAAGCAATGATTATTGTCTCATCTCGGTTAAATGATTGAGGTGGACCTAAAAGAAAACAAATTTTGAAACATTGTCATTTTTTGATGTAGAACCTTTTTTTTTTTTTTTTTTTTTTTGGTACCAGGGATTGAACTTGAGTCCTTGTGAGGCAGGCGGCGGAACCACTGAACTAAATCCCTGGCCTCACTGTCATTTTTTGAAAGACTGTCATTTTAAAAAGTATTTTGTTAAAAAAATAGATTAATAAAAATACAGAGACTTCCTTTTAGAAAGGCCACATCAATATATGGTCAAATTGATAATGCTTTTATATGAAAGGAAAAAAAATAAATTTGTGATAATTATAAATTACATACAAAGAAGGGCGTGGTAGCACAAGCCTGTAATCCTAGCATTTGGGAGGCTGAGGCAGGAGGATCTCTGTGAGTTCAAGACCAGCCTGGGCTACACAGTAAGTTCCAGGGCAGTCTGAACTACATAATGAGACACTGTTTCTAATTAATTAATTAATTAAAACAAATTACATACTTTTTTGGGGGTACTAGGGATCAAACTCGGGAACTTGCGTTGTGAGGCAGGTGGCAGAACCACTCAGCTAAATCCCTGGCCATAAATTACATATACTTTAATCGTATAGTTATCTTATATAGACTTGAAACACAAAAACACCTGTTAGGTTTGGTTCTAATTTTTGAAATATCATCTGTATCATGGAATAGTATAGACATGGTGGTATAATGTTTAAGAGAAGAGTCTTCAGGGCCAGGCATGTAGCTCAGTGATGCTATACTTGCCTGGCAAGCACAAAGGTTCTGAATTTGATCCCCCCTCCCAAAAGCAGTCTTTAAAATCACATTGGGTTTTAATCCTGGATCTACGACACTCTTTTGGGGGGATTCAGCAAATTATTTGACTTTTCTGTGCTTCTACTTTCTAGTTTGTAAAAATAGTACTTTATACCTCACAAGTGAATTGTAAGGCATAGATGGAACCCTAAAAGCTTAGTGAAGTATCAAGTTATATACTAGCTATGCAATAAATAGTAGCTATGTTCATCAATATCAATATCATGAATATTGATGAAAAGAACATGGCTTTGCAGGGATTTAAATCTGAATCAGATGTGAGGCTCAGATCATTTACTCATCACATGACCTTGGGAAAATTTCTTCACCTGTCTGAGGCTAGATTTACTCATTTGCAGAAAGGGATCACACTTATCTAAATTACAGGCCTATCATGAACATGTAAACATTTTATGTGTTAGTTCCATGGCATAGGTAAAATCATATTTAAATACCCTTTTGGATGGATAACCACAAACTCAAGCATATCTAGAAGATACCAAGTACAAACTGAAGATACAGTAACTTTGAATTGTGAACTTAAGTGTCTGGTGTAGAAAAAGAGAAAACTTGGGAACATATAGCTGTCTCTATATGGGAAAATGGCCTTGTTTTGAAAGCTACAGAAAATAACTAGATCAAATTATTGTGTATTTAAGACAAAAATCTTAGCACAGAGTACATACTTATGGCTTACAAATAAGCTGTCTAAAATGAAGTAAAATATCCTATTAAATAGCTATGTGTTATTTTACTAGAGGTATTCATGTAAATGTGTGGTAATATCGACCAAAGGTGGGCTTTGATGAATGCTAATATTCTTTTTTTTTTTTTTTTTTGGTACCAGGGATTGAACTCAGGTCCTTGTGCTTGCGAGGCAGGCCACCGAACCGCTAAGCTAAACCTCCGGCGAATGTTAATATTCTTAATCATTCTGTATATTTAGTTGAAATCAAACATATGTATTTTAAAATTCTTACTTTAGACATTATAATTACCTGTTATATTCAAACTAGAAGTTTCTATGGCAAAGTAAGAAGTCTGTACTGCAGAGTGTGTCTCGATGGGTTATCCTTATTTTAAAGGAAATTTATCTCAGCCAAAGTAAGCAGTTGCATAATAACATGTCAAAACAATATTTTTATAGAAGAATTTGTTGAAGCACTGAAATACTTTTAGTTTGCACGACATTTATTAATCATGAATAGATCTTAACATATTGCTAACTATACCTACTTTAAACATATATAGTAAGGTATAGGCAGAAAGACTAGATATAAAAATTTATCTTGATGAGTGTGGTGGCACGTGCATGTAATCCCAGGACTTGAGAGGCTAAGGCAGGAGGACTGCAGCAAGTTCGAGGCCAGCCTGGGCTCCATAACAGTTCAAGGGCAGCTTGAACTACACAGTTAAGACCCTGTCTCAAAAACCAACCAACCAACCAACCAATCAACAAACCCAAAACTTATCTTACTACAATGAGATTCTAAAATGGGTTTTGTCATTTTTTAAAAGAGGAAAATAAAAAGGGCTGGCAAAGATTTGGAGAAATAAACTTTCATGAATGGCTGGTGGGGATATGAAATGGTACAGCTGCAGCAGAAAACAATTTAGGGAGCCCTGAAAAATTTGAAAAGAATTTCCATCAGATCCAGCAATATATTCCTAGGTGTACACTCAAAGGAACTAAAAACAGGTGTGCAAACAAGAACTTCTGAATGCTCATAGCATCGCTATTCACAAGGCCAAAAGTAGAAACAACACTCATATTCATACAGTCAGAAATGTATAAAAAATGTGGTATATCCACACAAACAAATTTTATATTAAAGGTCATATATTTTATTATTCTATTTATATTAAATATCCAGAAGAGACAAATCCATAGAAACATTTAGCAGAATAGGAATTGCTAGAGAAGGGGGAAGAGGAAAAGGGAGTAACTGCTTACTAGATACGGTTTCCCTTGTGGTGTGATGAAAATGTTTTGGAACTACATAGAAATGATGGTTTGCATAACACTGTGAATGTACTGAACTGTTCACTTTAGCATGGTTGATTCTGTTAATCCAAAAGAGAAAATTTCAATACATTTAAACACACACAAAAACCTAATTTATGATTCTTTAATGTAAGACATACAGAAACATTTTATGTGCTTACTTATCATTCAAACACACTGTCAAATAAGCAATCTGCCTTCATCCACAAGGGATACATTCTAAGATGCCTGGTATATGATGCTCAAAACCCTCTAATAGCACTGAACCTTTTAAATTAGCTCTTATTTGTGGGTTCTGCATCTGCAGATTTAACTAACCATGGGTTCAAAATAATTTGAAAAATAAATCCAGAAATTTTCAAAAGGCAAAACTTCAATTTGCCATGCATGAACCAGAACATTGAATCCACAGGCATATCCTGGTATAGCTTCCTGACATTTTATAGATCTTCAGTCTCCAGCTCATGTGTGAAAATTTGTCACTTCACGTTTTATTTATACTATGTAGGCAGAACTACAATAGCTGTGTCTGTTCTGAAATTGTTCAGAATTTTTCCCCATCATTATTCCCTTAACAATACAACTACTTATACAGTATTAATAACAACTACTTATACAGTATTTACATTGCATTGGCTATTATAAAAAAATCTATAGAGATAATTCAAAGTATACAGGAGGGTGTACATAGGCTTTCTGCAAATATGACATTTTATAATATATACAATCTTTTTTTTTTCTGACTGGAGACTTTTATTTAAGGGAGCAAAGTGGAGAGAGAGGGCAGAGGAGGCAGGGTAAGGGGGATGGGGAGGTGAAGGACTATTTATGGGTTTATTGGAAAGGGCCTCCCATAGGGGCGGGGTAGACTATCCTTAACCTATTGCCAGGCATGTTGTCTTTTAAAATCCGTGCCTTGCTGGAGCTCTAGGCTGGGGTTTTGGCATGGTGGCGCGGTTTCTGGGGACAAAGAAACTTAAGACAGGTTTCAGGGGTAATAGAACCCGGAGGTCCGATTTAAAATGGCAGTGTCACAAAGTACCTCCCTCTTTGGTTTTAGATGAGAAAGGGCAGCCAGTGCAAACCACAAGCCAGGGGAAGGGGGCGGAGTGTCTGTCTTCTGTAACTACTTCCTGCTAAGTTTGGGGCGAAGACGCTTTCGGGTGGGGGAGCAGGCTGAAGTCTGGTTGACTGTGTTGTTCTCGAGCGGAGATGAACTGACGATGGCAATATTCCCACTGAAGTTGCCCGTTGTACCGGCCAAGGGTCGGGGACAAACCAAGGTAGATCAAGTAGGATATCTTCCAGGAACTGTCTGGATCAGGTCTGGGTGACAAAAGGTGGCTGCCATATGAAGGAGGTCTCGTTAGGGCCTTGTGTCTGTAGCACCAACTGACGGGCTGTCTGTCAGGAGAACTGGGCAGAAAGTTGGCTAACAGTATCCCATGGAAGCACTTAGATGTTTTGGGTACAGGTGATCTCTTGTAGACTCGGATCTGTGCTAGAAGACTCTTCTGTGACCTGAGTAAGTTTTATCTTGAGAGGTCCCATGGGGGTTGCAGAGTAGGATGGAGAGGAACCCAAGTATCTGATGCAGGCCTTGGAGATAGGCAGATTGGTGTTGGCTGCGAGAATGGCGCCAAGGAAGGTGGTCGCAGATGGCGGGTGGGGCTGAGTTGGAGCGTCTTGGTATCTGGGTTTCGGGTCCCCGGGTATGTTAACCTGTGGGCCTGGCAGTCCCGGATCCTGCTTCTGACACCAATGAAAGGGAACTGTACCGCTCAACAAGTAGGCCACACACACCGAGAGGTCCGACTGGAGATTTTTATTTAAGGGAGCGAAGTGGAGAGAGGGGACAGAGGCAGGAGAATATACAATCATTCTTAATGACATCTGTGGTATGTTCTCTCTCTATTTTTTTTTTTTTTTTTTGGTTTTTCGAGACAGGGTCTCACTATGTAGTTGAGACTGAACTGGAACTCACTATGTAGCCCAGGTTGGTCTCGAACTCATAGTGATCCTCCTGCCTCAGCCTCCCAAGTGCTGGGATTACAGGCATGCATCACCACGCCGGCTTGTGGTATGTTCTAAAGAACGTATATGCTGTGTTTTTTCCCTATACATATATATATATATATATATATACATACATACACACACACACAATAGTTTAATTTATAAACTAGGCACAATAA